GAGTCGAATGGTTCATACTGTTCTCTGGTCAAGCTGTAGGTGCACGTGTACTCAGAGAACCGCGAATACGCGCGCGCGCATTCGAAACACACAGGTGGTTCACGGGGATCTCGCTTTTACCTTGTCGCACTTCAACGGACGACCACAAACGATCAATCACTTCGAAGAACGCACCACGCACCATATGTATGTCGACTCTAACGAAAATTTGAATCCTATTTTTTTTAATACTTATCTTTTAACATTTCACTCAAGATATTGATTATTATAAAAACGACGAAATAAGAAAAACAATTGTTAACCTTATTTTCAATTACAAGTTCGTAGAAATGACATGCCATACATGACATGATATGGCGTTCTTTTAAAAATATAAGATTGAATAGTTATAATTCTTCATCACCAGACTATCATAGAAATACGTTTTTCGTAGAACTACTCCAACTGTCAATCGACTTACATAAAACAAAATGATTACGGATCGCGTTTAGGGCGATTTTACGGGACATGAGAGACACCATGCACGATGTTTCACTAGCGAAGTCTGCAGAGAAACTACTGGAAAAGTTTGACGTATCGCAAGAAACAAGGAACTAGATGGTAGAAGAGTTACATATATAGAGACGGATAAGGCCCTGCAGCTTGCATTAGGTTTTATGACTGTCAAGGTCTGCTGCTTTCCATAAGAATGGCGGCGTGAACATCTCGACAATTGCAGCTCAATTAGTAAAAGAACTAGCAACTAACTTAATCCAGACATGACTATCATTCTTCTATAAGGAAGATTTTATATGTAATTTGTAACTTTCCAATGTTGGCACTGCTTCTGGAAAAAGATTTCTTTAATATTATCAATACAATAATACAAAAATTGATTTAATATACTCAGTTTAAAACCCAAATAAAAGATAAATTATTTAAGAAAGTAACTGAACTATAGTGATAATGGAATTAACGTTTGCTCGCGAACTCTGAAACTCGTTTTTTAAAATTGTAAATTACATTATTCTACCATGATTGTAAACCAACTAAATTTCACGGTTCACTTCAATTAAGATTCCTGAGAATTGACCGTCATAACTTTAAATTTTTTTTATGATTAGCGTTAAAATTAAAATTATCGGCAGTCATCGATAAAATTACTTCGGCTGTATATATTACCTTATAAATAATAAATACGCGTAGAAATTCGCGAATTTTTATACATATATTTTGTTTATTTCTTTCTTATTTTCATCAGAAACAATTAGAAAAATTTTGTATGTATTATTCTCACTATCGCTATTGTTATTTAATAGTAATTATTATTTATCAAAATAGTTGGTAATGAGTTCAATAAATAAGCAGCATTTGTTTATAAAAAAAAGTATCACATCTGAAGAGAATACATGACGAATATGCGGCTGAAAATTATGTAGTTATCTTTTGATAGGTTAACATACTAGATGATTCAAGCTAAATATATAAAGTTCTCCAATTCATTGAACTTTAATACTATAATGCAGCTTATTATATACGTAACAATTTCATGCTTACTTCGACGAAAGCAACTAGGAAAGCATGCACGATAGATTTACACGATATACGCATTTATGACGCAACGATGGACAAACATTGTTGTTAATATTCCGAAACATTGCTAAATTTGAACGACAATGTATCGATACTAATATTCTTGAAAAATTTTATACATCCCAGACTGTTACAATTTTGTATAACGACATTATGTTATATTTATCTTTAAAGCGACAATCACTCTAATTACTTTAAATCTCGGAAAAGACATAAATAGAATAGTACTGCGTATCCGAAATAAAATCAACGTTACAACATTAGAACAGGTTAATAACAATGATAAATTTCAATTTGTTTATCAATATGACACGATCGTTTACGATCTGGAAACACGGTTTCAAGACACATTCGTCATTGTCTACGACAATACGTAATAGTATCGATACTTGTAGATCAAATATCTCCATACCTTGTTAAAGCATTGGATAATTCAACCTTGACAGATAATCTTAACTTGTGCATTTTATTTTTACATATACACGCACTACTTTATGTTTCCGCCGTTTTATACTTTCTTTTTCACTACGAGAAACGTGCTAGAGAAGCGTGCGATTTACGGCAAACGGTTGTAACATAACCAACAAACGTGGACTTAACTTTCCTTGGATTGGACAATGCGTTCACGCACTGAGTAAGTGCAATAGAAAGATAAAAGACACATGTATGAAACAACACGTAAACTAACCAACAATAAGGGGAAGAATTCAAGAGAATGACTTTTATATGGACACTCGGATGGTTAACGACTCTTTTCTGGCTCACAATCTTTCGGTTCAAGACTAGATCTACGACGCAAACTCATATCGCGATCACTCTATCATTTCAATTTAGATGACCGGCCATACGATATTCGTTCATTACACTCACTGTCTACACTCATAAAGTTTTTATACCATCCACTGTGTATCGTGTAGTTCCAGAAAATTGACACTTAAACAAAAAAAAAAAAATTAAATATGGCGTCAGCCAAAAGGCCATGTAAGCCAAAAACAAGAAGGAATAATCGAGAAAGCCGAAGCGTTCTGAATCATCGCATTTTCCTTCTGGTACAAGCCATCGCATTCCCTAAAGCGACACCCACATAGCGGCGATTTCCGTAGTCGATTGAAATTTACTACCGACAGTTGTTAATCATTGACTTTATCGACTTCCGTATTAGCGGTATATTCAAATGTGATTTGAAAAACTTATTGGAATCTTCATTTTCTATTTAGTCGTAATTAATTAATTATCAGAAAACTACTTTAAAACAATAGTATTTAGAAAGTATAATGGTAATTATCCTTATAGTCTATAAAAGTCTATAAAAATATAAAATATATATTATTGCTCATTTAATAAATAGAAGATTAAATTCTTTAAGAGATATTATATTAAAAAATACTTACAATTGAATGATTAGCAACAATCTAATCTAATCCCATAATTATTACATTAAAATATTGATGATATTTAAAATCTGTTTCAATCATATCTCTTATTATTGACTTTAACTTTTAAGTGTTTTTGTCACGTCGTAATACAATGTGACATAATTATCTAACACCGTAAGAAGACATTGATATTTAAACGTTACATCGTTAAACAAGCTTAACGATTGTACTAAAAGCATAAGCAGCTTGGTTGAAAATCCGCGTTTACTCGCTTACCTAAGCAACGCTTTCCTCCAGCAGTAATCCGTTTCGATTACGAGCAGCTGCAATTTCATCATATACGTCGACGTTGCTCAAAATATATAATATTGTCAAACACGCCGTCTGATGCTCGTTTTCGAACACCAAATTTAAAATTTTCTTTTCCACCTTTTTTTCACGAATTCTATGCGTTTCCACTATTCAGGGCACGACTCGTGGACGACCTAATTCACGGGTTATCGATCAATCAAAAACAAAATGCTCGTACACGTAGATAGACGAATAACTAACGGCAGAAAAAAACACGTCGTGGATCTCGAGAAATCTTTTTTTATCCCCCGAAAATTGTCGCCGAAAGTTGTTCCAGAATTTCGATTACAACATATATATCGCGCACCAGGACGTACCACGACGAAGCTTTTCTTCGTCTTTTCTCTCTGTCTTCTTGTTAAACGTCCTTATAGTCTCGTAGCCGTTTAACTTTCTTGAGGAAGTACTCCGCGGATAGATACCACGGTCGCATTTCGTCTCGTCGCAGTGGAACTCGAGTTGTGAACAAAAGGACAGTGGAGCTTTCATCAAGTCTCCACTGGAAAGCCCATGAACGCCACGCACCAAGTCATTTTGAAAAGCGCAAGCGCTCTTTCATAGATCGCGCTTTTCTCATAGGCGACTCGATGAACTGATGGCAACCAATGACGTCACTGCGGAAAGGATTCATTCACGAATGTTCGACGCCTTCGCGTTTCTAAGGCCAAGGACCTTTCTTTGGAAACTAGTATATTATTACGTATCACCGTTACGTATAACCATAATCCTCCTGAAAAAATACCTTTATATAAATTACAAACTATAATTCTATATTTATAATAGTTCAGGATCATTTTCCCTTGTTTTATATCATAGTATAATAAAATTTTGCTAACTTATCACCATTTCCAAATTCCTTTTTAATTTTCCCTATTTCTAGGAAATTCTGAATCTTCCTTATTGAGTGTGGGTGAGATACAAATACGAGCACATTTGTTCATTTTGTACATAGGGTATTAGAGTTTACTCCACAGAGTTTCCAAAATTGCACAGAGGTAGCAAGTAAAATCGTCAATTTTTTTCAATTAACAGAGCATTGCTGTAAATATATATTTCTTTTTTAAATTCATTCTATGTAAATTATATTTATTGAAATTTTATACTTACATTGCCTTTAATATTAATGAAATATGCGAATGTTATATAAATAAAATAAATTTCCATTTATATTAATTATGAAAATTAATGATTATAAAGAATTTGTAACTCTTAATCATAAAATCCTTGTATATAGTACCTATTGACACACGGTAATATTATAATTCTATATTTATAAATATACGTATCTTCGAATTGTTGAATATACTTTCTAATCAAAGACAAATTTGTGTATTATCTTCAGCAATTTAATTATAATAGTTTATTTTTTATTTTATTTATCAATTTGATATATAATATATATTATCTATATATCAATAAATGAGTACTTAAATGTTCAAAAATATTATCTCTGACTTATAGTTATAGAGATTCATAGTTATAGAATGAATATAAAATCAATTCATGATTGGTTAAAGAGACAAACAACATACCAAACAGAATTTAGATTTAGAAAGAAGAACCAATCAAATAATCTGTTTTATATGATCATGCTGTCCGTGAATGCTACCTTATTTTAACCTTTCGTCTCTAACCTGAGGGACTGGAAGTAAACAATAGTCAACAAAACAGTAGTGTAAAAACACTATATATTAATTATCGTTGTCAGTTTAAATATATAGTTAAATTCATAATGGTAAATTTTTATCAATATTCAATTATTCCTTATCGTGTTTCTGTGATTTATTCCAGAATAAGATAACCTCAAATATAATTAAAATTTTCTTCTTAGGATGTATTTTTAATGATTCGACGAAAAAATATGACGATATTTACTGACGCTAAGGATAATACGACAGTTCTTGAACTTAAAAAAATTATAGAAGGTAAAAAATTCAATATATACAGGAATATGAGTTGAAGCACTCACATAACATGACATTTCACTATATAACTTTCATTTACTTTTTTTCCTCCTTTTTGTTAGAATTTTTATGAAATGTATAAATATCTGTAGCCTTTAAATTAAAATAATGTAGAATCAAATATAATTATCTCACAGGTATATTGAAAATACCACCTGTGAATCAACAGCTGTTCAACAAGGACAATGTTCTAATGTCAGACAGTAAATTTTTATCTGATTTTGGATTGACATCGGCAACTGCAAAACCACAATGTCCTGCATTAGTAGGATTAGCTGTACGTCAAGAAAATGGTCAATTTGAACCTTTAGAGATGACACCATTCTCATTACCACCTGACTTACCAGATGTCATGAAATCTCAAGAAGCTAATGGACAAGAACAATCACCTTGAAACATCATGAAACAACTGATGATAAAGTGTTGAATTCAATACAATTTTATTGTCAAATATTTCCAAAAAGGCTAACAGCTTAAACAAATATCATGTGAATATTAGGTACATACAACTTTATATGAATGTTAAAAGTATCTTGAGGCTTTTTAACTTTATTAGGTGAGATTACTATTAATTTTTTTAGATTACTGTTAATTTTTTGGTTTTTGTTGTTTTCTTGTAAGCAATAATCAGGTACTGCGTGAACATTTGACTGAAAAAGATAATAAAAAGTAAAATTTATAATTCAGTACTCTATTGTACTCTAGTGTACGAATTTATTGTAATCTTTTTTACAAGTACAAAAATATTTCAACACTTTGTTACTACTGTCAAAACAGACCAAATACCTCACTCATATGTAATTTATGATTGTAGATTGTATTTTATTTTACAACATTTTATGTTTCCAGTTAAATTAAGTCTTATTCGAATACATCTTTTTAGTTTATAAAGCAATTTTTTTATCAAGCTTGAAATATAGAATGCCTCAAATTTTGTAAAATATATATAGCAATGTCACTTATTGCTTAAAATGCAAAATTAAAAAATATTGATTGTAAAAACTTTGAATATTAAGTTTTACAGTTACAAAATAGAAATTTGAAAATGTGATAATTATAAATAGTGTACGTAATTTTAACAAATTGATTACATTTGATACATTACATCAAGTAAATAATCATTTTGGTATAAAATACAATACTTCTATCAATTATATTTTACTATACCATAATATCTTGTTAACTTTATTTACGTGTATTCGTTAATTTATTTATTTGACAAATTGCATGTATATTTATTATATAGAATTATAAATTTAAAAAATTATATGCAGTTTATATGCAATATATGAATACATTGAATGTATTCATATAACATTTAACATATAAAATACTCGCAAATATATTGCAGTATCGTTAAAAAATTTAATGCATCAAGTAGGTCTCTAAATTGCTTAAACTAACGATATTTTTAAAAAATTAAGATGTCACTATAGTGCAATAAGTTAATTACTTATTTACATGCATTCATCACAGAATGTTCAATACTGTAGGCATTACTAAGAGGATTTGAACAAAATGCTAACATTTTTAGATCATTACTGCGATGGTAGACTATATAAATCTACATATCTTGAAATTAAAAATAACGAGTAATCAAACATATAAACCAAGGCAGTTGATATCTACTTAAGCATTTAACTTGCTATACATAAAACATATACATAACATAAACATAAAGTTCGTACGAAAGTATGCATGAATAATTAAGCTAAGCAATTAACATATTCTATTCTATTAAAGCGAGGCACTATTTAATACACATGTAATTTAAGTTTTCAAATACTGAACATTTAAAATTAGTAGTGCCTTTTATAACACAATTAAACTTTTAATCATATAATAATTAATGTAAAACAATTATGTATTATTTTATAAAATCATCTTGATTTGTGTTCTTGCTCTCTTATTTTGATTACCATATACAAGTTAAAATATAAAATGTTACTGAATCTAATGCATATTGTACAATGTTTACTTATTATCGATTTAAATAAATTTACTAATATCGCTCAATGGTACTTTTATTTTGTACGTGATATCTAAACAGATATTATTAATTACTTTTGTTTTTATTTAAGAACATTTCTATAATAAATTCTTTATAATATTCTTTTTTACTTGGTATATAATGACCACCTTCGTGTATTATATTTGTTTTATTCATAAACATTTCACAAATTTCTTCTGCCATTTCTGTGAAAAAAGAAAATATATAATAATAATAATTTATTTTAGTAATTTATTAAGAAATGTTTTTTTTACCTGTTGGTATAACTTGATCAGTTTTTCCATAGACATGTAAAGAGGGTATGCTTATTTTTCCATCATAATATACTGTATGAGGTGTACATAATGATTTAAATCCTGATATAATAATTGCAAAATCAAACTTAATTTGTAATACTACAAAATGATTAATAATTTTTAATCTATATCCCATTTTATAATTATTGTACTTGTTTCGATATGAAATATGAACTTACAATTCTTTTCCTGCATAAAACATAATAGAGTAACAAATGCTGCACCTTGTGAAAAACCTAAAATGCCATCAAAAGGACCAGATTCTTGAAATGCTTTTTCTATCACAGCCACACTATCTTCAAAACCTACAGCTAAATTACTTGGAACAGTTGCTTTAAATACATAATCTTCTGTATTAAACCACCATCCATATGCTATAATATTCAAAACATTTTGTAATGTTAAACCATTTAAAAAAATTAAACTTATTTTAAAAAAATTATTTATATATAGACTTTAATCTTTAATTTAATTCATAAAATTCATAAAAGATAATACCTTCTTCTTCTACATCAATATTAAAATTATTTTTCATTGAAACTTCATGCGGAGCTCTTAAAAATACAAAATCAACCTCTTTTTTAAATCCTTTTCTTATAGAGCCTAATTTCGATTTAAAAATAACATTTGATTGAGCATATCCATGGATTGCAAGTATCTAAAGCACGTAAATGTATATTAAAAATATTTATGTGTATATATAAAATATCAATTTCTTACCCGTAACTTATTTGTTGCATTATCCATGGTACTAATGATTACGACTATGATGGTACTAATAATTTATTGAAAATATCAAATACGTATATATTATATATAGTTTTTAAATATCTCCTACTAAATTGAAAAGGTTATAAAAAATGATTTTCTAGCAAGTCAATGTAATTAACGATTATAAACAATTTAATTTATTTTCTAATAAACTAATCATAAACTATATAGTTTTCTAGATGAATTCATTTATATAAACGATAAAAAACAATAAATGTAAGACGAGGTTAAACAACATTCAACTGTTAAAAATAGGTTAAGTTCAATCTGAATCGCATGCAATGAGAAATAAGAATGACTACACAAGAAATATTAATTTTATCGAAAATTTATAAACTTGTAATTAATTTATTTCAAATCTGATTCTAAAGTTGTCTTAATTTAAATTAGATTATATTATGAACTGAAAACAATTTATTGATATTGAGAGAAAACCATAAATAAAACATGATAAGTAATAAAGATTCTATATTTCTTTTAAATATAAATTTTAATAATAGTTTTTTACTATGAAAATAAAATGAATATTAAATATTCATTCTCTTGAAAATAATTATGTCAATATTAAAAAAATATTTCTTTAAATAAAAGTATTATCCTTAAAAATAACATAGATACATAATTTACAGTGTTATCCTAATAAATTATTTAGATACGAATGTTTAAAGATCACTAAGATCCACTGCTTCAACTTGCGCACTAATATTTTCATCATTTTGACCATTTTCTTCAGTTTCTTCTTCAGTTATTCTAGGAAAATCCAGTTTTGCCCATGACCCAGGTTCTGCTTTCTTCAATTTAATTTCTACTTTAGTAGGGAGCATATTAACATTGCTTTGGGTAATATCAACAATCTATAAAAATGGAATTTTACACAAATTAATATTTAATATTTGATAACATATTACATAAAAATACGTACTCCTCTTAATTCTAAATCAAGGTTATATCTAGAATTTTCCTCTATAAAAAGTAAATCCACAGTTAATCGTACAGGATTCAATTTAATAGATGATCGATCTGGTTGATATTTCTTTGCATAGATTGAAACTACAACAAATGATCCTGTTTGATGCCAATCCATTCTGCATTTAACTCTTTTGCCAGTATTCTGAAAAATAATAAATTATTTTTTTATATAGCAAATTTATTACAATATTTAAATAAATTACTAGAATTATAAATAAAAAATTATTAAGATAATAAGATACATACCTTAGAAATCCATGTATGTTTTCCTTGCGTACATCCTGGTTGCTCCAAGAATGTAGAGAAGTCTGTAGTTTTCTTTTGACAACAAGACCAATATTTCATTCCTTCATGGAAAATAGGAGTACCAGGATGATAATTACATATTTTATCATCGGATACAGAACCACTGTACGTAGCTTTACACGAATTATTTTTACAGCTTTGTCCAATTTGAACTTCACTTTCACATATATTTTCTGATACATTACAAGTTAGTCCTTCAATTTGTTCTAATAAAGTAGGTGATACATTTGGTGTTAAAATGACTTGTGGAGTCTCAAAAGGAGGCCTTTGTAAAGCAGGTTCACTATTAAGAGGTTGAGCAATCATTACATGAATTATTTCATTTGATTTCGATTTATCAACAACAGATTTTTCTGGCTCTGCCGGTTTGATATTTGAATGACATGATTTTGCACAGCCCTTAATATTTAAAAATTCCGTGAAATCTGTGCATTTTTTATTACAGCAAGACCAACCTTTATAAGCATCATGAAATACTGGATATCCAGGATGATAAATACAGTCGCCTAAAAAGATAATATTTTTAACTATCAATAAAATAAACAATTAAGACCTTGAATTTACATTTCTGAATTTTTTAATGTAACTTCGATGTATCTTCAATATAACATACCTTCTTTATTATTATTCGGATCAAATTTCTTTCCACAGCCACGATTATAGCAATTTTCTTCCTGCGACATTTCTAACTTTATTTTATTTTAATTTTGTTCCACACGTTATATATACGTTTATCGAGCATAAACTTGCGAGTAACTAGTACACACTGAGTCGCACTGAATGCAAGTCTTTTTGTTTCAAGAGTTTCTACAGTACCAAAAAACTTCTAGCACGTTCTAGAGAACTTGGCTCAAAATATCAAAGTATCCGCAGAAAAAATTCGCATCGACTATGATACTTATCATTTATTATCAAAAATATAACAAGACAGATTCACTGATATTTATAAGAATTATTGTAAAAATTTTAGCAAATTAAAGAATAATTTCTGTCAAAAATATATATATATATAATAATAATATAAACTTCATTTTATATCAAGTATTTTATTAATTAAAAATGCAATAAACATCCGAAATGTAATAAAATTGATCGATTAAATCTAAACATTGGCTCTTGCCGTAATACGCATTGAATTACAATTATTATTTATTTTTGTCAATTATAGAAGAAACGAACCTCATTAAAATTCTGTTTATTTAAATTAATTTATCGACGAATCCTCTTTATAAATATATAAAGAATATCTTCTTTATATATTTGAAATTTATCCAGTTACAATTGATCACCACTGAGCGAATACATTTAATATCGAGCAACAGTTCTCTATATGCTATATTTTAAAAACAGCTGTTTACATCGAGGTTGGAAAATGTAATGCAATAATGCAACTGATACAGCCTAACTAATAATAATAAAAAAAAAATACCTTCACAATGAATCGTCATCTTTAAAGTATTATGTCTGATCAATAAAATTTTATAACATGTGATATTTCTAACAAATATGGAATTTCAAAATATACTTCTAATATATCATATCTTATTTACTGTACAAAACACTTGTAAGTTTTCTTATTACCCATTAAAAATTTATATTTAATATTTTATATAAATTATATTAATATTATTTTATAAGAATTTATATTACATTAAAGTATTACATTCAGCTTTCAACTCATAGATTTAGCGTAGTTTTCAAATAATAAAACATTTTTTCAGATGGTCTTCATAGAAATCTGAAATACTATGAAACTCTCCATATATCTCATTTTCAACATAACATTGTAAAACGTGGTATCCAGCATAGTTATCATCCTTATAATAAAATAAACGAATTAGAATTTTATTCCCATGGAAGATATTTTCGATTAATTTTAACACCAAGAAGAGAAGTTATTCATTCCAAATTCAAAGCATACGAGGTAAATGGTAATGGAGAAGAAAAGACTATACATTTAGGTAAAATAATATCTGTATCTAACATCTAATGAAAAAATATATTTTTCTAAATAATCAATAATTTATTTTATTCAAGATCATGAAAGTTTTTATCATGGACGAGTGTTTGGTGAAATTGACTCTCATGCACAAATGCATATCGACAATGGTATTCTTACTGGTAGTATTACTATTTCCGATGAAACATTTCACATCGAGGTATATCTGTATTTGTAATATATAATGCCTTTCGATATAAGTAATAGAAAATTATAATTTGGCTTTATCTATTACAGCCATCTTGGAGACATCTTCCCCATTTAGGAAATGAAACAATGATTATTTATAAATCATCGGATGTTAAATTAAGTTGGGAACATTTTGAACATGGGGAAGGGCATACCCACGGTGCTCCCAAAACTTGTGGATACGTAAAAGAAGAATTAGGTCAATTTATTGTCTTAAATGAGAAATTACATTAAAAAGTATTATATTTTTATATAAAATTTATATTGTAGACATTCCAGTAAATAACAGGGAAGAGAAAGAGGGTGAAGAAAAATCTGATTTTAAATTAAATAAACATTCCAGGACAAAGAGACAAACAGAAACTTACGAATATACTCCAACAAAAACAAGATGTCCATTACTATTAGTTGCTGACTATCGCTTTTATCAAGAGATGGGTGCTAGCAGTACAAAAACCACAATTAATTATCTAGTAAATAATCGCATTACTTAATAAATATCAGTTAATTCGCTTTAGACAATACCTCATGTTTTTTAGATAAGTTTAATCGATAGAGTACATAAAATTTATAACGATACTTTATGGCAAGAACGACAAGAACAAGATGGGTTTAAAGGAATGGGTTTTGTTATCAAAAAGATCGTAGTTCACAGTGAACCTACTCGTGTAAGAGGTGGTGAAACACACTATAATATGGTCAGAGAAAAGTGGGATGTTCGTACGTTGCTCGAGGTAGAACCATTTTCAATTTTACTAAATACAAAAATTTTAATTTGTTAATTAATTTATATAAATTGTATCTAGGTTTTTAGTCGAGAATATAGTCACAAAGACTTTTGCTTAGCTCATTTATTTACTGATCTTAAATTCGAAGGTGGTATATTAGGATTGGCATATGTTGGATCACCTCGTAGAAACTCAGTAGGTGGAATTTGTACACCAGGTATATTAATGGACTTTTTAATTCATTTACAAACAAATGAATAATTTTATCGAATGTTTTATTTTAAATGTTTTAGAATACTTTAAAAATGGTTACACGTTATATCTCAATTCAGGACTAAGTTCTAGTAGGAATCATTATGGACAAAGAGTTATCACAAGGGAAGCAGACTTGGTTACTGCACACGAATTTGGACACAATTGGGGTTCTGAACATGATCCAGATATAACGGTAATTTTTTGAATTTTATGATTTATCGAATAATTTTTAAAAAATCAATTTATTAGAAGTAGTGTAATTCTCGCATATTAAACAAGGCACTTTTTAATAGGAATGCAGTCCAAGTGCTAGTCAAGGAGGTTCGTACTTAATGTACACATATAGCGTCAGTGGATATGACGTGAATAATAAGGTAAATTTAATTAATATAAAAAGAAATGATGTTAAGAAAATACTTATTTTTATTACTTACAAAAAATGATGCTTATTATTTATGGGCTAGCGTTTTTCACCATGTAGTTTAAGATCCATTAGAAAAGTGTTACAAGCAAAATCAGGCCGCTGCTTTTCCGAACCAGAAGAATCGTTTTGTGGTAATTTACGAGTCGAAGGAGATGAAGAATGTGATGCAGGATTACTTGGTACAGAAGACAATGATGCTTGCTGTGATAAAAACTGTAAACTTCGTAGAAATCAAGGAGCAGTTTGTAGGTAATTATTATTGTTATATAAATTTCTAATCTATTTTTTCTAAATTATACATATCTTTCATAATATTTAATGTTATATATCTTTTCAGTGATAAAAATTCTCCCTGTTGTCAAGGTTGTGCTTTTATGCCATTAGGTGTAAAATGTCGCGATGCACAGTACGCTACATGCGAACAAGAATCACGCTGTACAGGAGCATCTAGCGAATGTCCTAGATCCCCACCAATGAAGGATGGTACAGGTTGTCTCGAAAGAGGTCAATGCAGACTTGGAAAATGTGTACCATATTGCGAGACACAGGGTTTGCAGAGTTGCATGTGCGATACAAGTATGGTTTTTACAAACTACAAACAACAAGTTAAAAGACAATGCGTATCATTAATATTATATTTTCATTTATAGTTGGAGATGCATGTAAAAGATGCTGTCGAATGAGTTTGAATGAAACATGTTTTCCCATAGATCCTCAAGATATTTTACCTGACGGAACACCATGTATCCAAGGCTTTTGTAACAAGGTAAAATTGAAAAAAATATTAATGACAGATAGACAGATATAAAAGAATTTGACTATCATAGAATCTATATCATATCATCCAGGGTGTCTGTGAAAAAACAATTCAAGACGTAGTAGAACGATTTTGGGATATCATCGAGGATATAAATATTAATAAAGTTATGCGATTTTTAAAAGATAATATAGTAGGTGCTGTTATAATTATTACTGCCATTGTATGGATTCCCACTAGCTGCGTTATTAGTTATATCGATCATAGACGAATCAAAGAAAGCGAAAAGAAGTGGCGTTGGAAGCATACAGATGAACTTATTCATCCAGATGAACAAAGACAAGTTATTTATATTGGCGGACAACGGCAAAAAATTACGCAGATTACGCAACAATCATAAATGTTTAATCTATATTGCGGATGCAGAAATATCGCGCATAAGGAAATTTCTAGTCACGAGTGTTTTGAACTTTTACGTTACATGTGACTTTCATTTGTTATGTAAATAAAGAACGTTTTTAATATAAATGATGTCAGAAATAAATGTAATAATATTTATAATTAAATAAAACTTCTATCTACTTGATAGTATTTATATTTCTGAGAGAATAACTCGATCAAAATAACACATACTTGTGTAATTTTGTAATTATAATTACACGTAAAATTTTAATTAGATTTTATTTATATATCGTAAAGATACTAAAGTAAATACTAAATTTTTTAATTAATCTCAATTTCGAAAACATAAGAACGTTCGAATTTCAATTTGAATGTTACATTCACTTTTCAAAAGCATGCGTGTACCGCAAATTGTAGCGCTAACCTCCAAAATTTTATGTGTATTTCGACAACGTGTGCTTTCTCCGATATATAATATCTAGAACCTAATTGAATTAACGTATCAGCCGATATCAAATAACTCGCGAAGTAGTTGTTGAATTTTTCAGAAAAATGATAGAAAAACTTCCGGAGACAATTAATTTTCCAAAAGAAGAGGAAATTATTTTAGAATTGTGGAAAAGGCGTGATACATTTCAAAATTCTCTAAAATTGTCGAAAGGAAAACCGAAATATTCATTTTACGATGGTCCACCTTTTGCTACGGGATTACCGCATTATGGGCACATACTTGCAGGAACAATAAAAGACATTGTAACAAGATATGCTTATCAATCTGGTTACCACGTGGAAAGAAGATTCGGCTGGGATACCCATGGTCTACCTGTCGAATTCGAAATAGATAAAACATTGAATATAAAAGGTCCTGACGATGTTGCTAAAATGGGAATAGCAAACTATAATAAAGAATGTCGAAACATTGTAATGAAATATGCAATAGAATGGGAAACTATCGTAGGTAGAATTGGCAGATGGATAGATTTCAAGAATGATTACAAAACATTATATCCTTGGTACATGGAATCTATTTGGTGGATTTTTAAGGAATTATACAACAAAGGTCTTGTATACCAAGGTGTTAAAGTAATGCCTTTTTCTACGGGTTGTAACACACCTTTATCTAACTTTGAATCAGGACAAAATTACAAAGATGTTGTCGACCCTTCTATAGTTGTATCATTTCCTTTAGCGGATGAACCAGGTGTTTCTATTCTTGCCTGGACTACTACTCCTTGGACTCTACCCAGTAACCTGGCACTATGTTGTAATCCTACTTTCGAATATCTCGAAGTTAAAGATCATTCATCCGGTAACGTGTATATCATATTAGAGTCAAGTTTAGAACTTATTTATAAGTCTAAAGATTCCTATACTATACAAGGTAAAAGAAAAGGTTGCGACTTGAAAGGAAAAATATACAATCCTCCTTTTCCATATTTTCAGTATCTAAGAGAAAAAGGTGCTTTTGTAGTATTAAATGATACCTATGTCACGGCAGAAACTGGAACAGGTATTGTTCATCAAGCGCCATATTTCGGAGAAGATGATTACCGATGTTGCTTGGAAGCTGGTATTATAACAAGAGATCAGGAAATCATATGTCCAATTGACAGTTGCGGATATTTTGTAGAACCTATATATGATTTTATTGGAAAATATGTAAAAGATGCTGACAAGGATATCATCAAGTATCTTCAGGCAAATAAAAGATTAATTCATAGCAGTCTTACTAAACATAGTTATCCGTATTGTTGGAGATCCGATACACCACTGATATATAAAGCTGTACCCTCATGGTTCATCAGGGTAGAAGCTATAAAAGATAAACTTATCACAGCAAATAGCGATACTTATTGGGTACCAGATTATATCAAGGATAAACGTTTTGGCAATTGGTTGAGAGATGCTCGTGATTGGGCTATTAGTAGAAATCGTTATTGGGGCAATCCAATTCCTTTATGGATTTCAGAAGACAGACAAGAAACTGTATGCGTAGGAAGCATAGCAGAATTGGAAGACTTGACCGGTACAAAAGTAACAGATATTCATAGAGAAAGTATAGACGATTTGACTATACCATCAAAACGACCAAATTGCTCGCCTTTACGACGAGTACCAGAAGTTTTTGATTGTTGGTTTGAATCTGGATCAATGCCGTATGCACAAATGCATTATCCTTTCGAACATCGAAAAGAATTTGAAGAGAATTTTCCAGCTGATTTTATCGGGGAAGGTATCGATCAAACTCGCGGATGGTTTTACACTTTGTTGGTTATATCGACAGCTCTTTTTGGGAAAGCCCCATTTAAAAATCTAGTAGCTAACGGTTTGGTACTCGCATCCGATGGACAAAAAATGTCTAAACGTAAAAAAAATTATCCAGATCCTGTGGAAATTGTTAATAAGTACGGAGCAGATGCCCTTCGTTTGTACTTAATTAATTCTCCTGTTGTAAGAGCAGAAAATCTACGTTTCAAGGAAGAGGGAGTTAGGGATATTATAAAAGATGTATTTTTGCCTTGGTACAATGCATTTAGATTCTTAATGCAAAATATTGAAAGATTCGAGAGAGAGGAGAAAATTAATTTTGTATACGACGAGTCTAAAAATGTCTGTTCCAGTAACATAATGGACAGATGGATTTTATCTTTTACACAGACATTATTACAATTCTTTAAACGAGAAATGCACGCTTACAAGTTGTATACTGTAGTACCTCACTTGATAAAATATATAGATAATCTTACTAATTGGTACGTAAGAACGAACAGAAAACGTATAAAGGGAGACGGTGGTGCAACTGATTGTCGAGAAGCTTTGACAACTTTATTTTCTGTTCTTTATACGATGGTTCGCGTCAATGCACCGTTCACACCATTTTTAACAGAATTTATGTTTCAACGTTTAGTTAAATTACTTCGACCATCCAACATCAACACGGATAGCGTTCACTATCAAATGATACCAGAATCTAATTTAGAATTAATGGACGAAAAGATCGAAAAAGCTGTATCTTATATGCAAACTGTAATTGAATTGGGACGTGTTGTCAGAGATAGGAAAACAATTCCTGTTAAATATCCATTGCCAGGAATTGTAGTAATTCATCAAGATGCCGAAGTATTGAAAGAAATAGAATCTTTGAAATCGTATATTCTAGAAGAACTTAATGCGAAAGAATTAACCGTTACTACGGACAAAGAGAAATATGGCGTTAAATTGAGAGCAGAGCCAGATCATAAAATACTTGGAGCTCGTCTTAAAGGAGAATTTAAATCTGTTACTCGAGCTATCAAAGAACTTTCCGACGAAGAATTACGAGTGTTTGTTGCAAAAAAAGAAATTAACGTTCAAGGTCATAAGTTAGAAGAGCAAGATTTACGACTAACGTTCAGCTTCACAGGCCCAGCAGCTGAACAATTATCGAAACAATATGAAGCTCATAGCGAAGGAAATGTTTTAATTTTGCTAGATGTTACGCCTGACGAAAGCATGTACAACGAAGGAGTAGCAAGAGAAATAATCAATAGAGTTCAAAAACTCAGAAAAAAAGCTCAATTAGTTCCATCGGACGAAGCCATCGCATATCATGAAATACAAGATGAAAATAGCAATTTAGCAAAAGTTATCGTCAGTCATAAAAACTTCATAGAAAATGCAACTAAAACTCCACAAGAAAATATATCGAAAATGCGCAAAAATGCAAATGTAATTATAGAAGAAATGCAAAAAATTAAAGGCATCGATATGAAACTTATCTTAGTAAAGACCAGAACGGATGAAATTAAAAACGACGAAGCAAACGTAAAACCTTTTGTAAAATACGTAAATATCGAACTTGCAGGCATGAAGCCAAGGTTCGGAACAACCAGCTATGTTGGAACTGTGCTGTTAGAAACTCCTAACTTACCAGTTCCTGTTTCTTACAAACAATTGAAACATGAAATTGAATTAATATTTGGTATTTACGGCTGCACTTACAACTTACTCGTAGATAACAAACCAATATCAGAAGAAACAAATATTTTATCGTTGCACGAACAAACGATAAAAGTAACAAAAGTAGGTTCGACCACAACCGAAACAACTACAGTATTAAAACAACCAGCTTGTAAATTTGTCAATATCAACAGTACCTTAGGAAAAGGTACTATTCTCTTAGAAAATCCAAAAGGAAACTTTTATTTAAACAACACAACGTTGAAAGAACAATTAAATATCTTTTTTGATAGATCAAACACTTTCGAACCTATACCCAAGGTGCTAAATAATTTATACGGTAAGACATTGCAATTAAGATAACTTAAAAATGATTTTTCATCGATTATTTATTTTTTATTTACGTACATTTTTCAAGTTTTCCCAAACTCTAATAATTCTATTTAAATTTAAATTAAAACTCACGTTATAAACCATATGTTACATGTTTAAATATTGATTCTGGATCGGTGACAATTATATTTATTTACCTTATACAGGACTTTACGAATTCCTCAGTTTTTGCGAAGAATACCATGTAATTGCAACAATTTTATAATTAAAAAATAAACGATCGTTACATCGTAAACTATATAATGTGCAAACGTGTCTTCTTTTATTGAATTCACTTTTAAATATCGTTAAATTCGGACGAAGAATAAATTTTTATCCATATAAAATCAATTAGTAAACTATAAAATATGCCAATATAAAAAGAACATCAAACAAATAACTATTTATTTCATATTCGATGAAAATTGTGAGATAGTACCACATAAATTGATTTTTCTATAGATTACTATAGTACAGTGTATCATAGAACTAACAATAAATCACCGTTTTTAACGATATTATTTGTCAGAAAAACAGTAACAAATTTCCTTTCCTGGAAGTAATGTGAAGTATATCTTTTAATAAGTTATAATTATGATTGCTCGATACATTATACGCGTGTACACGCTTGATTTTTATCTTTCTTTAACAATTCACGCAAAGAACTTGCTCGAAGTTAAAACTCGGTGCTTAAAAAACGTAGGTAATTTTCATTCTAACGTTAAAAACTTTGGAAGATTATAAAAGTATGATGATTTTGTTCTAACAACTGTAATAATTTATAATAATTATATAGCACATTCAAGTTTAAGTCACACCTAGACGATGCAAACTCCAAAAAGTCAATAAAGAAATTATAAATATATAGATACGTAAGAAATCTTTCGTTAAAAATGATACAGCGCCATTGCAATTATCGTTTGTAATATTTATCATAACAAATTTAATGGTCGAATATCAAAAATTAATTTCGCAAATGTATTTAAATAAACAAGTATTTGCAAATTAGTCAAATACTAATCGTTCGAATTTATAAATTTTATATTATATATATATATATATATATATATATATTATATGTGTTTCTGTTTACAATTTGATATTTCATACAAGCTTAAAGAAATTTGCTCATTAAATATATAAACAAAGATTTTGAACTTGATGCACGTAAACTGATTTAAAATTTGAAATGCAACAATGTTATCTCCCTCTGTACACGTCACCTCTTATTTGTTTGTTATACGAAAGAACATCGAATTCTTTTATATATTGATAAAAATCACAACAACTTCATATTCTCCTTACCGTTAACAATCAACGTGTTTAAATAATGTTACGCTAAAACACATATTCGTGTTTACAAAATCATGTTCCAAAATAATGTCTAAATCTGTTTATTCCTCGTAAATTCACGCGATATTTTTGTCGTCTTGTCGATTAAGAAAGAAATTACCAACTAATGACATAATATTAAAGCTACTGACATTGCGAAAATTGCAGTGAGGGCATACAACGCGAGCGTAGTACTTGCGGTAAAAAATTGAGCATAATGGTATCGAGAGTACCAAGCGAAAGCTAACATGATAGTTAAAATAATCACCAACGGTCTACTCAAATCCCATTCGTTATGTACCGAACTAATTCCCGTGCTAACAGGAATGTCAGAAAATGATTGGGGATTGAAATAAATCGACGAATTATCCAACGTTGACGTCGATGTCTGAGACGGTCGTGGTTGATGAACCAAACAATGAACTACACAATTGTTATAGAGACCACATTTCTCCAATGTTTGAGTATCAGGCTGCAGTACTCGACCGTTAAAAACTAAACGTA